AATGACACAGAATACTTGTTTCAACAACTGTCACCAACTGAAGCACACACTATTTTGATTAACAACCCTGGTTAGGCAAACAATATGATTTATAAAATCTACTTTTTTTTATAAGACGGGCCTTCAAAAGGACTTTATTGCATATTGTTGACGTTTAAACTAAGATTTCATCGCTGGTGATGTTTGAAGACAATTGTTGAAATCGCATTTTTTTTGGACGAGACAGGTTTTAGGGTCATTGTGTTTAAATGGCGATATTTTTTTAACTGATTGACCAATTTCAGTAATGTTTTCATTTAAAAGTAGCTTATGAAATTGGCTTTCCAGTCGTTATTATTTTGGTGCTACATATTTTTTTTAAATATGAAACATAATTCTGGGGGTTTGGGTTCCACTTTTTGGACTCGCCCTGTATTTCCTGTGGGCTCTTCACACTGTCTACAATTTCCTGTAATGGATCTGACACGGGGATTTCTCGAACCCCTTTCCTGGCAAGAATCCAACATGGCTTCTATTGGGTCCTGCGTTCTACACAGGAAAATCCGACCGTGGTCAGGACCAGGTTCTAGCGATGCTCTAGACGGGTAGAAATCAGGCTAACAAGATCGACAGCAGACTCGTCTACACACCTATGTTTACGTTACATACCTAGTATGGACATACTAGTGTAGTTAAGAAAAACATGTGAAAACACACTGTTAAAACTCTTTCAACCCAATTTTATTCTATAATTCCTTTTAGTGTTTTCCCTTCAACTCCAAAATGCCTCTAAACCTGTTTTCCAGAGAGGGGGAAACACTGTGTGGATGGGGGCAAGTCCACACAAAGTCGCTGCTACATGGTTTATGTTGACATCTTTTGTTCGTAAGTCCACACAGTGAATGAAATGCTTGTACACCGTTGTGAGTGTGAACGGTACGCCTGGCCCGAAGTGTTGGGCTGGACCCGGTTCGCTTTTGCTGTGGACCCAGTTCAACACGGGTAGGCGAGCTGATAGCATGAATTTCCAAAAAAGGATATATTCGACACCCACATTGCCTATACATGATCCAACACTCTGCGGGCGTTATATGAAGTATATGCCCACGTATAATACACTACATGTACTAACTTAATAGAGATAGATTGGTATTGTATAACCGCCGTGTGTATTTCCAGTAAATAATTAAATCCTCTTTCAGCACTTTTTCAAAGGGTTGTCTCTCTTGTGGGAAAGGACGAATCGCCCTTTGAAATTAATCACGGCTACTCCGTCAGATACGCTTGCCTATATCGGATGTGTACAGTAGGCCCTAGCTACTATCAAGTGAGTTGTTGCGGCAGCCAAACGAGGCACTCCTTCTGTCGCACGCACGCAACCACCGCCTGCAGGCGTTTGGAGTGATTCCTGCTGATCGATTTCATCGCTTTGCGTGCATGGTGCGTGTAGACCCGACTGTAATGCGCAGTTTATTACCTAGATATAAGGGCTGTTGATAAAAAGAGAAGCCTATATAGCCGCATTGCATGGACCCACGAGCCGAAGCGATAAAGAAATCACTCTTTGGTCCGGACGGGTCTAGCCTATTCGCAGACATGAGCATTTGTTTCGTGATGGCCTACATTCTTCAGAGACTCCGGCTAAGGTTAAAACAGATAATGCTCATGAAAACAAATCACCAAAGACTAAAATCAAACATCACACGGTCGAATAGGTAGATTTGGCACCAAGTTTGGTAACCGGATTATATTGCCTCTAGATTTTGCTCAAATGCTTCTGATTTTGTGACTGGAATTGGGGGTCAGATATAATTATGTCCAGGTTATTAAAAAGTAACACCAATTTCCACCTCCTCTTAAAAAAAGGCACAGGGATATTATTTTGGAAAAAGAAACAGCATATTTTTGGGTGTCTTTTTTTAATAGAATCTGACAATATTAGGCCAAAAAAATTAATAAGTCGGTCTCTGGTCAGCGCGCGCGTCGATTTTAATCATGCGCGTCGATCTTTTTTTTTCCAAAATGTTCCGCGGTAGCTCCAAAAGCGCCCTCTATTTCCGCACCTCCTCAATTTTTTTTTACCAAAGAGCACCAAGGAATGGGAATTTGCACCAAGGCAAATGATCGAAAGCATCAAGGCAAATTATGGAGGACACCAATGTACATGAGGACACCAAAAAAGCAAAATAGTACCCACCTTGTCTGTACATTCCAAGCTTGAAGAAAAAAAAAAAAGGAAAAAAAAAGAAAGAAAAAAAAGCCGCGTGGCCTCGTCAATTCCGGAACTTTGGTCTGACCAGAGACCGAATATTTTTTTTTGGCCTTACCATGCTTTGGGGCTATTGTATGAACAATGAATTTTGCAATAGGCCTAGTGAAGATACTTTAGCTAAGTAAGATGTTTATATTGACTTAATCATACGTGTTTTTGGTCATGTATAAAAAGGCGATCCAATGTTACAAGAAAAGTTTCTGTTACAAAATGATGCTGGATGCGATTTGATGCATTTTTTTCCTAAACTCTCAACCTCTAACATGGCGTTTTATTTCGAATTCCAAAATCAATGTCAGAGTTTCTCTTTCACATTGGCTCCTTAAATTCATGCTTTAGAATACAATTCTTGAAACACAAACCATTAAGACCTTATAAAAGTCAGTGGTGTTCAATGATCTTCATCAAATGGAAACCTCATCATCCCACCTCGTTTTATTTCGAAATCAAAAAGTTTAAACCAAGGTGGGTTTTATTTTTACGTTGACTCCTAAAAAAAACCCAAAAAACATAAGGCCAACAGACCATTAGAACAGTAAATAGTGCGCAATACGCTTCATAAAGTAGACGATTATTCTTACATTTTTTTTCAAAGATGAACTGTCTCCGATCGCGTGAACTTGAAAGTGCGTTTTTACTTTTGTTCTCGTCCATAATATCGCTGCAGCGCGGCATTTGATTAATCTTGCATGACGCGTGTTGGACATCCACTGTACTTTTTTTCTTCAACTCCGTTACTCGCGACATTGTTGGCTCTGCGACTTTCACGTGCGTTCGCGTGAGTAATTACCGGGGCCATATATTAAAAAAATCGTGATGTTCCCGTACTTGTAGGCTACCTGTGAATAATGTTGTCCGAGTCGTGCGCGACATTTGGTCGCCCTTAACCTTTTTTCCCCCTGTAGCTCCCGTGTGAAATTCTAGGAATCTAATATCGTCCCCAACCCTTGGAACTGGAACTTTGTACACAGATTGTCACGATTTCTTTAACTAGAACGGACGCTAAGAAGATGTAGAATATGGTGCAAGTATATAACCCGGGGAGTGTGGCCTAGTGGTTACGGTTTACGACGCATGTTCAGAGGGTCAGGGGTTCGAATACAGCTGCTGGTCGTATCTTGTGTCCTTGGGCAAGCCACTTTACTCCCACTTGCCTCCCTCCACCAAGGGGTATAAATGGGCACCGGCATTAGCTAAGGAGTAACCTGCGATGGACTAGCATCCCATCCAGGGGGAGTAGACATATTCTCAGTCGTTCGATGCTGCTGAAACCGGGGATAAACGCCGGTCTGATGGGGCCACATTGGCTCGTGACAGACTTTACTCTTTTTTTGTACTTGTATAATCCGTACAAGGTACACTGTAAAACCGAGTGTTTGATCATTGAACGCATTACAAATGAGGCATGAAAGCTTTCCTAGTTTTTAATAGGATTTCCCATGTTTTTCTCCTTATATTTCCTATATTGCCTGCATTTTCACCATTCTGCGCCATGGGCGTCGCCGGGATTTTTTTTCCGATGGGGGGGGGGGGGGCATCGGAAAACAATCCCGGCAAAGCCAATTTTTCCCCATAATTCCTTAAGTTTTTCATTTTATTCTCATTTATCATTTTTCCCAGCGTGAGCAGGGGAGCATTTTCCCAACCCACTCCCCCCCATCAAATTAACAGCAATATGGCTTTGCACCTCTTTTTCCCTTCTTTTTTCTTTTTCCTTTTTTCCCCCGTTTTCCAGGGGGGCAAGTGCCCCCTTGCTCCCCCCCCCCCCTCGCGACGCCCATGTTCTGCACAGTGCACATTACACATTTGGGAGCCAACAGGACCCTTTCCCCTATGTTTTTCCTGAATGTCAAAAATCGTGCCCGATAAACGCTTTTTGCAGTTGCAACATTGAACAAAGTTTAGGGGGTGAGCAATTAGTATAGTAAAAGGCATAGGTTAAAATTTGAGTCATTATTAAGAAAGGCGCCTATCCAAAACATCTCCACAAACAGCCGGTTTACTTTTTCAGCTGCTTGCGACTGAAATTTCACTTTCATAAATCAAGTTGACGTCATTGATTCAACTGTCATTCATTAATGAAATACAGTATACTTTGATTCCATTGTTAAAACAAGCAATCAATTCAGCAGAAAATGTACTTAATCCGAAGGGGTTCAGTCGTGGGCGTCAAAGTGAGAAGTATTATTTATAGGAGCTCAAAGCAGATTCCTAAGCCAACGTAAAAAAAAAAAAAAAAATGACATCCAATGTAATGAGAGAAAAAAAGAAAGGCTAAAATAAATTGCCCGCAGGACAGATGTTCAATCTCAAGAGATGATTCCGCTGGATCAACCAGAAAAATTACCCTCAGGTTTTGTTTCTCCTTTGTTCCAGCAAGGTCATTAGATTAATTCATCTTGCGGGATGAGGGCGGACCGACGGGGTTCCGCTCCCGCATTTAATCCAACAACAAAAGTCGTCATTCATATGACGTGCACGAATGCTGATTGAGAGATCTGATTGATATTCATGGCTTCCGAGCTCAGCGGGAGGCGTTGCGATTTTTCTTTTTTGTTCGTAACCCACTGAGCTTCCTCGCAATTTTGGCTCGGATTACCCTCGACAATCTCGTGAGGAAATACAAGTATTCAGCGCCAGCCGTGAACAGACCATTTGCGTCGTCCGGAGCGATCGCGGGAATCCAAAACCCATCTGCAGTCACGCTCCTATAAAAACCTTAATTGCAGCACACACCGAAGCATTTTACCACAATCTGCCGTGCCGACAACGACAAGCTGCGCATACGTAGTGTGATCTGACTGTAGGTGAATAGCAGGATTTGCAACCAGTAACTTCTTGAAAGGTAGAGACCAAATACTCTTCTGTTTTCTTTGTTTCATTCTGTTGAATATCTTTTACTGAACAATAGATATTTGCGTTTAATATATCTATATCTTTGCCGAAGCAGAACTGCAAATATCGGGCCGGGCTCCAAAATGAAACTCGCACAATTATTTTTTTTTCACAGTAAGATTCTTTTATAAATGTCACTGCGACTTCTGGAAAGTTAGATTAACGTCGTACGGTCAGTAGCATGCTGTGCGTTAAACGCCGTAGTTATCTTACAAGGGGCTTGCAGTACTTTAATTAAGTAAGCAATGGCTAATTGGAGATAAGAAAAATCGTTTCGTTTCCCCTTTTTTTCCGTCACGTTTGATGGGTGAATTCCCGATAGCCGCATCGCTTTGATTACTTATTAGAATAATCGAGATATATCTTATGGTTTTGTATGTCATCACCAGTGTGTGGAAATAATTTCAGATATTTATCCCGTAGAGTCTAAGTTTCCAGTCCATTCTAAAAAAAAAAAAAAAACCAGAGAAAACAATTTTTTAACTGTGTTGTTTTAGAGACAGTACAGTTAAGAAGAATGCATGTTGAACTTAACAAGTTTTAGAAAAGGAGAATTGGTAGTCCTTGGACGAATACGGGAACTTAACTAAGGTCTGTCGCTATTTCGAGAATATACGGTTAGGGAAATTAGACGTTTAACGTAGCAATTGTTGGATCGGAGAACAATTTTGTTAAATGTGCAGAGGATCATTTTGTTCTCCGTGCATTTTTTTCACACGAAGTAACAAAACTGCTTGGAAAAAAAATCTTAAGTTGAGTGCGTCACAAATAACTTGTTGGTGCATGAGTTCAGTATGACTACTTTAATATTTGAGAAAACACAAAAAATATACATACGCTCGAAAACTCCTGGGTCAGAATTGACCCTGATATGAGTCTATATCTGCACAGTCCTTTTTAGGGTCAACAAATGACGCTTTTCTGGGTCAAAATGATTCAAGAAAAATGCCATTTTTGACCCAAAAAAGTTCTATTTTGACCAGAAAAGGGTAATTTTTGACCCGGCAAAGGATTGTACAGATAAAGACTCAGGTTCTGGGTCAATTCTGAACCGGGAGTTTTTAGAATGTACACAGTTTTCTTTTGCTTACCTGAGTAGATTTCGTTGCTAACGCTCGTAATAAAAGCGCCTTCAATGATAGTTTCCTTTCGATCGAAACCATTTCTGACGGAATAATTTCACAGGGTTTTACGGACCAGTCCTTTATCTTCACTTTTGGGCCAGGATGCTCTCACTAAATCGGTAATTGCATTTCCAGCTCTTCTGAATCGCCTTCAAGTATTTTGGCTGATATAAAAGACCCCTGCTCTTCTCTTAATTTCTTTAGCACGAACACTACGTCCAATATGCATTGAGGGCAAGGCTCAAGGTAAAACGGGCTCGAGAGTCCTCCGACCGTGCTGAAGCGAAGCTTACTTTGAGATGCATGGGAACTTTTTTGGGGGAAAATTAGGGTAATGGCCAACAATATTCAATTCCAAACACCTATCGAGAGCACAACGCGTGGTGGCTTTATGCCAACAATGGTCAATTTTTACAAGGCCTTGATTTCTAAAGAGGCACGCGCTTCTCGACTCCCATTCATGACATTAGAGTTAGGAAGCATCACTTCAAGGATCATTCTATTCGATGTCAAGGGACTTTAATCGGGCCAATAATCCCGTCAGGCGCAATCCTCAGTGACTAATGGCGAGCAAGTGTCACCCTTGCAGTGAGTTATTCGTCCATTTACGTCTAAAACGGAATGCAATCGAGTCAAGGATCTTCGTAGGAAGTGCAGCATTCTCTTTTTTGCCTCCTCTTTACCCACTTTTTTGTTAGCTGGTTTTTTTCTTTTGCTTTGGTGGCTGATATTCATAAGTTGGAATTTGCGTCGGGTAATGTAAATCAATATCAGTTTTGCACTTCACCGACGTATAAACACTGTATACTCAGTGTGTTACCCCCCGAGTGAAAGTTGGAAACATCACTCGGGTGGGACTCCAACCCACGACCTCCTGCTTTCTAGTGCAGATGTCTTACCACTAGACCATACACCGAGCTATCGGGATCGGTTGGCTGGTTCGAATCTGATGTAGCAGCGGGTACCGCATTGAAAATATTCACAAGACGGAATTTGCGTCGGGGTGCTGTGAATCAATATTAGATTTTGCCCATCACCGACGTATAAACACTGTATATGTCTTACCCCCCCCCCCCCCCCAGTGAAAGTTAGAATAAATATGTATTGGTTGGCTAAGATGTTCCAAAATCTTCCGCGTAATTTTTCTAATTCATGGAATGTGAACGGATTGACACAAATAAAACACTCGTGCATGTAGTGGTTTTAGCATTGAGTCCAAATGTAAAATGCCCCAGTTGTCTCGAAAGATGAAGAGGAAACACGTCCCCTTAATTGTTATGTGTGGGAGTTCGGACATTCCCTGCGCAATAGTAAGTAAATTATTATGCTTTCTGGAATGGAATCACCTTCCGTCTTTTATTGCTTTGATGCAAACAACTTGAGTGTTACATTGACACCTATGGGGTCTAGCATAACAGACTTCCTGTAAACGTTAATGAATTTAGCACCTTACAGTCATCACTATAAAGTTCCTTTTCTTGTGGAATGAGTGCACATTTATTTGTCTTTTCTCGCTGAAATAGTAATTTTACAAACTTATGTTGCTTCACATCTTCCTAATCCTCTTATTGTTGTTTTACCACTGTCTGGTCGTACAGTGTGTGCCCAAAAAGCGCAACATTCTTTTTGTTTTATTGTTTTCAATGAACATATAATATTACATTAAAACCTGACTCTTTCTCAATCCACTCCTTTTTACCCCATTCCATCTGGGTCCCTACATCCATAAATACAATCAATGAAGTGATTGTCGACCACTTCAATGCCTATTCAAAATCTATTCAATGCTTAACCCAGATTCAGCACGTCCAGGTGAGAGTGGTTCAAGAAAAACTTACACCGTTTCACTTAATTGATTGTATTCTGGATGTAGGGACCCCGATAAAGTGGGGTAAAAAGAAGTGGATTGCGAAATAGTCGGGCTTGAAATTAAAGTAATTGGTAATTTCATTTAAGAAAAAAAAAACTTAAACAATTTGAATTGTTTGTTTTCTGAATGTTGCAATGTTTCCGCACGCTCTATACATTGGCGATAGTGGATTTTGCAGTGACATAAAAATTAGCAAATTATTGCAGATTTTTCCTACCCAGTACTTACTTTTATACAATACGGCAGCCTTCTGGTACGTGTCAGTTCAACAAAAAAAATGTGAACTTGAGCATTAAACATTTTTCTTTCTTTCATTTACAAAATTCTTGTGACCACTCGTTCAATTAGATCTTGTACTTTTCAGCTGTCTTTCACGATAAAGACTTGGATCAAGATAACTGTCAGCTTAGGGCCTAAATGCGCTACACTCTAAATGCGCTACCTTAAAAGTCCGTTTGTTCAAAGTCCTTATCCTATTTGTGAGCTACGTGATGAGCAAACGGCCTCCAATGACATTTTGCTCAGCTCTCGTGTGCGGCGGGCTGAACGATAACCCCGTAGATAATAAAAGACAACATTGTAGCCTCCGAACCGACTTATGTGAATTAGACTTGTAATAGAAAACTTGCGGATAGATTGCGATCAGTTGACACTGTTGGTATGTCTGTCTGTCTGTTTGTTTGTCTATCCTGAAAAAACCCCCAAAAGTATGGTGTTCCATATTATGTGCCATCGGCGTCGCTTTCTTGGCGTCTCATCGTTGAGCTCTGGCAGGGATCATTTTGATCGATTTCAAGCTTTCATACCAGACTTTCATGCAAGACTTCTTGCAACGTCAGCCTCGCTTGAGTCTTACGCGGCCAGAGCTTATTGTGCTCCTGCACTTGTGTGTTTGTTTCATTTGTAGTCGGCAACGGATCACAGCCTTACTCAGCCTAAAATATTCTGAGGGGACGGTGCTGCCACCCGACTCTGCCCTCAGACCAAACTGTGCCGTACGCTGCGAAATCAAAGATATTTCAAAGGAAAGTCAGCATTTTACCCTTCTCTCTCTTATACGCCAGCCCAGTATCCTTACACCACTTCACTTCTGGACTTTCGTAACATTACCTAGATGCCCTCAGTCTATTCCCCCGCCTTCCAAAATATTATCATCCGACCCCCTGTGTAATATGTGTGTTTGGCGATGATATATAAATTGCCAAGCCCCCCAGGCACGTCTTATTTTACCCGGTATCAAAATTTCCTTCCACTGTCTCATCTGGCGGAAAACACGGAGATGAAACCCCGAGGAAATATATTACCCTGATAAGGGGTTTATAAAAAGGAGGTAAATTGTGGCCGTAGAGAAAGCATCCTTAACGAAGTAGGCTATTTGTTTTTGGTGGAAATGAGATATTATCTTGAAAGCTCGAGAAACGCCCTTCACTGAATGAAACAACATTTCGATTAGATTTTTGTTTGGTGGCGATCTTGTTTTCTGGTGGCTAAACAACCGCCAGGCACTCCTTGGTCGATAGCACCCTCGGACCGTAGAATTGCTTTATCGATGAATGTACATTTTACATGTTGGTCTAAACATTATGTCCTGCTCTCGTGGCGCCTTTCTAATTATTGCCAAGACATTACATTCTAATGTGATTTCTATTGTTTGGATTGATTCCGATAGCGGATCAAAGCTCAATGCGTCTTCACTGACTTACGTCGCGATTAAGATTAAAAAGTTCTCGCTTTGTCTCTTGATCGCTTTTGTCTGTTTTTCTTTGTTTTTCTTGTCCCAAAATCACATCAGAATCGTACAATGTATTTCTGCATTTCTACATGGTGGTGCAAAAAGAAGAAAACACATTTTTTGACAGGATTTTTAACCTACTTACTCAACTTACTTGAACTGTTTTTTAATATATTATAGTAGGGTATAGTTCTTTAGCCAAACATGGTAAAAATCTTTAAAAA